CGAACTTCCTGAAATTAAATTCCGACCACGCGTACAAGTCCTAATACCTGAAGTGAAGCTATTCATGGCCCCAAACTGCTGAGTGATGTGCTAGGGCTCAAAACGACCGATCGGGTCGTTACAGAAGGGAAGTGGCCGGCTTCTCAACATGTTATTGCTTATCTTAGAATCAATGGCCACTAAAAGGCGTTTGGTAAGAAACAAGACAGGTACAGTTTCATTCACGGGCTTTACCGCTGGTGCATATGTAAATGTATTCAGGTGATTGTTGCACAACAACTTTTATTTTAGAAAAACTATTGAAGCATAAGGGTAAATTTGTAAACAACGATTAAACCGACAATTATTCTTTCTCTCATTTTTTGGCCATTCTTTCCCTTTTTACTTTTTCCCTATTCTTTTCATTGATGTGATATATGCTAGAAGATCCACAAGTTGTCTCTTTAGTTCCCAAAGAAATTACTATTCCTTTAAATGGATTTTGTAACAGATTTTAGATGGACTTTCATTGAGAGGGAGTTTTAAAAATAGTAGGAAAAGAAAAGAAGAACAATGAAAGAAAAATATTGGAAAAGGAAAAAGAATAGGAAAAATTCAGATATTGGAAATACAGTTCAATGGACAGACACCACAACTTTTTTAGATGTTATTTATTCTCTTCTTTCTTTATGTTTTTAGTTGCCTTGCATTTCATTTCAAGTTCTTATTTGAATAGAAGATTTTTTTTAACTATTTCATGAAAGAATCAAATAAAGAAGTGAAAGGAAATAAGGTGCGCATACACAAACACAGATATTTATGAAAGTGAATTTTTTTTCTTATGAATTCCTTTTTTTCCCCAACATTTCATAAAGAAATCATATTATGAAAAATGATGTCCATCTAACGTCTAACTCTAATAAAAATATTAAATTTGTGATTAATCAATATATATATATATATATATATATATATATATATATAATTTAGTTTTTTTTATGTATGTACATTAAAATTTTCTCTCTTTTATGTTGATTAAATTTATAAAAAGATTGTTTTTGAATTAAATATGTTTTTCGCGCGGTTAAACTCATGCATCTATGTCGCCTAACAAACGGGTAGGATATAGTACAAAGTTATTTAGTGAACTTCAATAATATTTGAAGTAATTCAATCTGGCATCTTTCTGTGGAGTATTATGATGTCTTCTTCACCAAGTTAACTATATAAAATTTTATTATTTTCATGAACCTGAGTTTTTTTCCTTTAATTTTATTTTATAACTCAAATATATTTTTAAATAATATTAATGTGGTTTTAAAAAAAAATATTATACTAATTAATATATGACACACGCGCAACGCGCGTGCCCATAAACTAGTTTATTAATACAACTAATCGCAGAGAAGGATTTACTTATTATTAGTGCAAATGATTTTTTGAAATAATGTTCAATTTTTTTGGGAACAAGATCTAATCTCGTCAAGTGGTCGGCTTATTTTATTATCTGAAGTTAGAGTTATAAGTTCTAATTCGAAGTTTTCTTTGAAATTACATTTTTTCTATCGTACCCATTTTCTGGAAAAGTAAGCAAGTGGTTTTGAAATAAAGGAAAAAAGAAATGAATTTTAAGAATGCGACAAGTTTTACTAAATCGAACGGTTTCTTTTTAAATTTGAATCGTCCACCTTTGTTGATTTTAGTTACCTGTTAAAAAAAAGATTAGTAATCGTCAATTAATTTAAGAGAGTTGAAATGATTTTTGTTAATGGAAGGACAAAAAATTGGTAACTTTACTTGCAACCTTTTCTCATCCATATTAACGAATCCCATTATGGTTCTTTAATTTAGCTCTATATCTGAAATTTAATACTTATATTACTGAAATTCGTTCAACTCACCGAAAGTTGAGTAATGAGAATATAAGGGGGATTTGCATCTATACCCAGTTTTTGGGTCACATTTTAACCTATACCCCGCTTTGTAAAAAGAATTGCAAGCGTACCCACTTTTCGGGTAACTTCAGGCATACGGGCCTGAAGTAGCAAAAATTTATGTCTGAAGTTTGAACTTCAGAATTTTTTGCCTGAAGTGTAGCCTTATCAAAGCAAAACTTCAGATATTTTTGCCTGAAGTTTGGCCTGACTTGCAAAAGCAATCACGCAAACTTCAGTTCATAGTGCAAGGAAAAACTTCAGTTTCCCCTCACTTCATAGTGCAAACTTCAGACAAATTAGTCTGAAGTTCTTCAATTTATAGTGCAAACTTTAGGAACTTCAGTTCATAGTGCAAGGGCAAACTTCAGTTTCCCTTCACTTCATAGTGCAAACTTCACACAAATTAGTATGAAGTTCTTCAATTTGTAGTGCAAACTTCAGGAACTTCAGTTCATAGTGCAAAGGGAAAACTTCATTTTCTCCTTACTTCATAGTGCAAACTTCAGGAACTTCAGTTCATAGTTCAAGGGCAAACTTCAGTTTTCCCTCACTTCATAGTGCAAATTTCAGACAAATTAGTTTGAAGTTCTTCAATTTGTAGTGCAAACTTCAGGAACTTCAGTTCATAGTGCAAAGGGCAAACTTCAGTTTCCCCTCACTTCATAGTGCAAACTTCAGGAACTTCAGTTCATAGTGCAAAGGGCAAACTTCAGTTTCCCCTCACTTCATAGTGCAAACTTCAGACAAATTAGTCTCAAGTTCTTCAATTTGTAGTACAAACTTCAGGACAAATTAACTCTTTAGTGTAACTAAGAACTGGTTTGGCATCACATCGGGCTTTACCTCATGGGAAATTCTTCATGTTCTTCATACTGGATTTGGAACTTCTGTACATTCAGTATGAGATAAACACATAACAAGATGAACTAGAGAGTATCTGTTGCGCTCTCGATGCATTTGGATTTGCATCTCGAGCTTGCAAAATAAAGGATTGTAAAATTTGCAGAAGCCTACGTTTTACCTTTTGTTGACAGGGTTTCTGAATTCAAATAGAGAACAATAACAATACTCTGTTTTATTATTTTATGACAGTATTTGATCAAATGTAGGTTAAGTTGTTAATTTGACTTCACATTTTATTAGTGAATATATTAAAGTAGTGGTTGAAAAATTAATTTGATAGACAAGAAGAGGAGGAAGAAAGGAGCGCATAAGTCAGAAGAAAGAAGAGGAGGCGTCTGAAGTTATTAAAATTAGTGTATAGGTTAAATAATTTTAAAAATATGGGTATAGGTTAAATGGGGGAGACCAAATAGGGCGCCCCGTGCAATTTTTACGAATATCAAGCTTCTTCTCTGAATGTTATATATATATNATGACGACTAATTAAATATCAAACATATTTTATATATAATAATTTAATTGAGAAAACTTTTAGCTATCAATACTATATTATAAACTTATTTACCTCTCTTAGAGAGGTTATCACTTAATTAAATTTCATATACATATTAACCATTCATATAAAAAAGTAATGTATTAGACTCCAATCTTTTCCATTCTCTCCCTCTTCTTCCTCCCCAAATTCAAACCTCTTCACGTGTACAGGGAATTCAAATATGCTGGAAGACATTCTATTGTTCAACCTTAATCTCCTACATGTAAAATATAAGTATCCCAAGTTTATGTTGAACTATATTTCGAAGACTTTCTACAATTTGTAAAGCTACTACAAAATAAGAAAATGAAACCCAAATTCGTGCAATACTAGTAATGACAATAGATCCGGTCCTTCAAAGCACTTTTGTCTCAAACGAATATACATAATCCTAGTATTTAGTGGCGTGAATGGTTTGGTTCAGCCGGTTATTTTATAAAATTTATACCATACCAATTTTTTAATTATTCTATTATGTATAACTAAAATTAGACTTTTCAAAACCGTCCAATCATGTCGATTTCTCTTCGGTATCGATACGGTTCAGTTAATTTTCGGTATTATTTTTAAATGTCAAGTAAAAGTCACTAGTAGAAGTAGAATGCAATAATATACGTACTTTTATAGGACTTAGCAAAACTCTCTAGAAAATTTTATTGTTTAAAGAGTGATGAATTAAGAAAATATGAAATATGACCAGAGTATATCCATCAACTATTCTACAACAGTGTAAAAGAAATCAAGCAAAGACAAAAAAAAATATAAATCACACGAGTGTAAAGATATTAACCAAGCTGGGACTTAAGAATGAAGTCTATAGAAGATTAAATATTCAAAAGGATAAATCTAAATCATATGAAAGGAAACGACACATTGTAGTTTGCTACTCATAATCTTTAGAATACATTGTGTCTTGCTGGTGAATATGCTGGAAGTAATTTAGTTTCAATTGAGTAGCATAATAGGTTTGGAGGATTCTGAATTTTAAATACTTGTTGGCTTGTAAACATTTTCATTATTCCAAGACCCAAAGAACAATGTAATACTTTATTATTTTTAAACTAAATATACAAATATATTTTTCAATATAAATTTATTCGGTATGGTTCGGTTTATTTTCATAAATTTAAAAACCTACCCTAATTATCGGTACGGTTATAGATTTATAAAAAACCTACTGTTTTATTAAAAGAAACCTAAAAATCGGCTCGATATGTTACGGTTTGGTCGGTTTTTAAATATCCATTGACACCCTACTAGTATTGTTTATTCACAGCACAAAACAAAGAATATGTATATTCACAGCATAAAACAAAGTCATGTTATTAGTTAAGAGCTTAAACTCCATCGTATTTTGAGCTTCTTACTTTTCTAATGCAAGTCTTTTTTACTTAGATTTTATAAAGTGTTTACTGGATTAATTGCCCTTTTATTTTCTTATCAAGCACATTACATGTCTAATTACTTAACATAACTTTTAAGCCATCAAATAAGGGAAATACGGCAAAGATTGTTTTAGATTTGTCAACTACATGAAGGTTATGCACTGCAATATAGTCAAATGGCAAACCTGAGCAACCATTTTCACCTTCAAAATAGATTGTAATCTAAAAGGAAGGGGGCTGAGTACAAACCTGCTAAACTTGTTTTCCAAAGATCAGCAACAAAACTAATTTATAGACACAAATCAAGTCCATCAACTTCTAATGTTTCATGACACGACCTTCAACCAACTTTCATGCTTCAGTATGTCAGGACTATGCCAACAGGAATGTTCCTCAAATTGTATCTAATCTAAGCTTGTATATGTAATTGTTTTACACACCAAAGGACATATAATATAACTCAAAAAATCTCGACCAAATGACTTCAACAGTTCTGGGCTAACTAAAAGTTCTGTTAATTTCTCAGTCAGGCCGAATATTCTGGCAGGAGGGCGACATTTAGTATGTCTCCCAGCCGGAATGTAAGATGACTTCTCTTTCTTAATCTGCAAAAACAGTTGGCAGATGGGTTTTTAATTTAAAACTAGTCACATTTGCCCCTGTGGAAGCATGTGTTACAAACAGCTGCAAAGACAAGATGACTTCTATATTTAGTTTAGAATGACACCTATTTTTCTGAAGCAGTTGCAGCATCATCATCAGTATCCCGCCTTTTCTTCTTTCCATCCCCATGTCTTGATCTTCTTGGTGCTTCATCCTCACTTTCACTTTCATCATTTTTGAAGCTGTTTCCAGCACCAAACTGGGCATCTTGTTCGGGTTTCCCTCTTTGGGGATAATTTACTCCATCTGGTCCGCCAACTGAGCCCGCCATCTCCTGACCCTTACCTTGATCTGAACCGGAGCTGAATCTATCATTCCTGTCATGAACTGGAGCTCTCTGTTCTCTTTTAGGCCTATAAGGATTTTGAGAAGGCTGAGATGAGGGTGGAACAAATGATGGATGCATACCAACTGCTCGACCAGCTCTGGGTGGGCCTGTCGCTCCGGGACCCATCCCGCCCATGAAAGGGGGCCTTCCGGGACCCATCATCATCCCAAATCCACCAGCTGGAGGGCGGCCATGAAACATCATATCATTTGAAAATCGCGGGCCGTATGGACCGAAAGGTCTGGGACCCATTCCAAAATGATCAGGCATTGGGAAACCATCAGGTGTCATAGCTCCATAAGAAAATCCATCACCCATCATGCCCGGAGGGAAGCCCCGCATCCCAGGAAGAGGTCTGGGCCCATGTCCTAAAGGCATTATTGGAGGCCACACAATTCCCCTCCCCCTTCCTCTGCCAAGAGCAGCTGGTCCGAAACCTTGATCAAAGCTTTCATCCTCGTCCTCACTTTCTTCATCTTCCTCTTCTTCATTGTCTTCAAATGGTACAATATCTGGATTATCATTCCCATTGTCAGGGTTCACTCCCTTCGCCTTTTCTTCCTGTCTCTTGGATTCTGCTGCAAGTGAGATTGCCTGAAATACAGTTATTATCCCATTAAAATACAGTCTACCCGAATTCCAACTGCAACAGGACATAGTTTCTAATGTTCCTATAGCCACCATGTGCTTTTTCATCATGGATACTTCAAGCATTAGATGCTTAATGACAATCAGCACATTACAACCAAAGGGAATGATTGAAGCCAAATTTGAGTTTGAGGACTCAGAAACACTGGGTTGAACTTGAAGCATGATTGGATAAAATCGAGTCATTATCAAATCAAGCAAAATAAAAATAGACAACCGTGTGTCATGTCCAAACCAAGCTATGTCATGATTTAAATGAAATTAACCCAGTCCCAATAGAGATTGGCGCTTTGTGGAAAATTAGGGGAGAACTGAAGAAACTAGAGAATCAAATCACCAACAAAATCTTGGACAGCCATGTGAGGACAGTGGAGAGTCTTGGTAGGGAGACAATAGAACAAAGAGATTTCCAGTACTAGTACGGTCCTAACCTTTTCCACTTAAATACTAGTCGATAGATAATGGCTCCCCTCTTCTACATCTATGCTTCTCCACTTAGATACCAGGCTTTTGTCTACGGCAAGGTTCGAACTTATGTCGTGCACCTAATCCACACATCACGTGTTGTGCTCTTGATGTGACATTTTGATTATTAACGGGCCAAAGCAGAACCTTTTCCACTAAAAGCAATGTGAAAATAAAAACTCCACCAAAGATAGCAAAGTTTGTTCAGAGAGCAACATGGGAAGAGCACTTACCAAGGATGACTTGCAGAAAATAGGTAAGTTTTGAATTGTGTGACAACCACATTGAGAGTTTAAGCTATTAGAGAGGGAGCACGTTATTTATTCATATTAGGTCTGCAACACGCGTGAGACTGGCCCTTTTTTCTTGGCCCAAGTGTGTGGAAATTCTTTTTGGTACTTGGGCATTCATACTTCAACAACTTTTCCTAAAATATGATATTATAGGTCAAACCACTAGTTGATACAATCATCTTTGGAAAATGGCATAGATTCTTTAATTGTCTTACAAAAGGAATTGACTGAGTTTCAGGAATAATTAGTTCAATTGAAGCCAACCTCAGACATTCTGTCATTTTTGCAACCAAACAAAAAAGTAAATCAGACTTGCTACGATAAATAGCATTATAATGTCAGGAACATCTGACTAAGATCAGGCAGCAAACCATATTCACAAACGGCACAAAATATTCTCGCTTGTCATCCAAATTAATAATGCTAAAAACTTCAAGACGTTAAAGCTAGCGACTGTCCAATCAAAGCCACTCATGACACTACTGAACTCCTACATGGGACAATTTAAGAATTTTAACTAAAATAAGCAGATAGCCAAACAGGACTGACAACCCACCAGAGAAATAATTTAAACACCCATTAAAGTCACTTGCATAATAACTATCACAGGGAAATTAAAAATATTTGTATATAGTATCAAGGTTCAATATTGTCAATCAGCATTGACTAATTCAATGCACAAGCAAATAACTTGCACAAACTATGGAATCAGAAACTCTTGCAACCAAAACCAGAAATTCTTTTTGATACCAAAAGCAGAAACTATACCATGCACCTGCAGAAACAGTGCTTCACGGAGATAGCCATGAAAGCAGTAACAAAGTGTTTCATTGTATATATCAGCAGTGGTTTTATGCATATTGTCAATATTCATAGCTAATGTAGTCTTTCCAAGAACATATTATCAATTTGGTCTTATACATATTATACCGAGACAAGTGACATGCTGAAGTGCCCCGAAAGCTCCAGGAACGGAAGCATTACCATCTAGAAAAAGAAAACTCTATTGAAGACAACATTCAAAAGAAGTAAAAGTAGTACCATAAGTTCGCTATCTGGTTCAAGATAAAGTAAAGAAGCCAACTGCTCACCAACAGAGGGTTCTAATTCTTGACAATCTCTGCTTATCTGCAACAACAGGAGCAAAATACAACATTAAAAAGGTGACTGAAAGGAACAACAGCATGCAGACCAATTCTAGCATCCAAATAAAACAAAACAGACCAACTAAAGAGCTTCTATTTCGGATATCGTAAGCATCAATCACCAATTAAAATCTTAGTACAAGGAAGATCATAAAATGCAAAAACCAAGGTTGTTTTTTGTTAAAACGAAAGACTTATGGGGATAGAGCCATAGAGGGGTGGGAAATTCAACTAGTCAATGGTTGGCCAGGCCCGTTGGGGATGTGTATTACACATCCATGAGGAAAGACTTTTGGAAAATTACAGCAATCTTCAATACAAACACAATTTCTTGCCTATTAGATATGTCAATCCCAGTCTAAATCAATCATTGGACATCAACATTCTTAGAGCAGTTACACTGGAAATTAAACTAGTTGAAATTGGTCAAAGAATCAACAGCTAAAGGCTTAGGCTTATACCTTCACTGGTAAGTTCTCATTGTATGGATTCCTCAAGTGGTGAGTTTTCTGGAAGGACAATTCACACAGCTGCATTTTAAACCTTACAGTTAGTCCAGATGTGCAAGCAATTATGCAAAAAGAGAGGTTAAAAGAAGAGATTTTCATTTTTTATCGTTAAGGTAAAAAGAAGAAATATACAACAAAAAGAAAACAAAACCCCAGCCAGTCAGTTATATCAAGTACATGTTAGAAAAATTATCATAGTCCTAAAGCTAAATAGAAAGGGCGCTAAAAGCAATAGGATTTCTCTAGTGTGACACTTTTGGTGAAGAGAGAATTGTACTTTCACCTGTTTAGGTTTTAATACTCGCACTAACCTCCATATTGGAACCCAAAACTATAGAATGCTCACCTGCCATCATAACTGAGCGTAAATTCAAATATACCCTTACTAGTATTACCAATTTAAGTTCCCAGATAAATATAAAAAAATTAAAAACACAAAAATAATGCTCCATATCTTCTAGACACATGCCCGCACATGATATCCTTTTTAGACTGGCTGATAATTTTTATCACTGTTGTGTTTCTCCCACTTCCAAGAGACAAGAAAAGCAATATTAATATCCCAAAAAGAAAAGGCAAGTTGATTTCATGCCACGATGCGTTTGCTCCCATCCCCTAAATAGAAGTTAGTAAGGTATTATATAAGCAGATACACATTTAAGATCAACCAAATGAAAAAGGTTCATAAGCAAACAACAGAGAAATCAAGATTAGAGGTGGGAGGGGNAATTCTAGATGTCATCTTTGCACAACCCTAAGAAATAGCAAACAAATTTCACACTGTGAAAACTCATGCGCCAAAGGAAGCTTTGTTTACAACCATCAACTAGCCTTACACTCGCACATTCCTTTCATGACAAGTCAAAATCAAATTATACACTCTTACAATAATTGTATGCTAGTAATACTTAACAAATTCCTCCGCTATTTGGTAATGGACAAACTTTATATCTGTAGCACATAAAGATTAGAGAATAGCTTACCTGAAAATGTCTAGTCCGATTAACGGAAAATATCAGAATGACATTTTCCACAGAGTCAAAAGCTTCATTTAGTTTAGCCTCATTGCTTCTTTGAGTTGCCCAAACTCCTTGTTGTACTGACAATTCAAGATTCTCACGGTTGCAGCTTTTAACTATAAAGTACCTAATTCCATGCAATGACACTGGATAAGTATGCTAGCAAAAACAGAGATATGGAATGCAGCTGTCCCTTCTTTTTTCATTAGCCCAACAAGGAGAAGAATGGATAGAGAAGAGGGACAGTAGTACTATACGAACAAAGATCAATGAATTAAAAAATGGAAGTCACAGCTATGCCAGGATCAAAATCAGAAGTTCAAAAATTAAAGGAAATTCATCACCAGTAACAAATGAAGATATTGCAAGTAAAACAGCATCACAAAATGAATCACGACCTTGTGTCACTAAACAAGACAGAATACCAGTTCTGACCAGCAAACCTGTAGTGTTTAGTCCTAGACAGTTTTTCATCCATATAGCTTACTCATACTTTATAGGACATTGCGGGAAATATGTGACAGACCACTATGAGAGAATAATGAAGTTGCTTAACCAAAAAAAAAAATAAAAAAATAAAAGAATAATGAAGTTGCATCCCACTGCTAACTCATACTTGTGAAACTAGTCAATTAAACTATCAACAGGGCTCTTCCTTTTTCTTGCTATAGCTGTTTCATTACAACAAAACAGGGGTGCTGGTAGCAAATATGTATCGTACTATCATATCTAGTCAAATTGATTTAGATACTTCTGGTATTTGCTTTTTGCTATACTCGTAGTAGCAAAGAAGTTGTACTTCCATGAAGAAAAAGTTTTTGGACTGCTCGATATGAACCGATAAAACAATCACAAGAAAAATCTTTAAGTTACAATGGTAAAATCTCCCATTCAGTAGCAAAAAGAGAAGCTACAACATCATATGATTCTCTCTCCCTTCAAAAGCTCTCATGTTCAAGAGGGCCTACGTGAGTGTAATGCTCAATATTCCATGCTTTTCACTTCTCTTCTTTCTTCAACATGTCAAACTGGAGAAAGCCTCCTTTGTTGTGCCCGGCATCGCCATTGCAGTCCGTCCCATCTCAAAATCTCACAACACGAGCAAGTAGCCACTTGACAATAACAGAGGAAATAGTCCGCATCTTCACCAGACCATTTGCACATATATGACCAGCTGACATTTGTAATCCGCCTTTTTCTCAAATTTCAGTTTTCAGGATTACTTCCTTCATTGCTAGCCAAGTAAAAAAGCACACACTTTTGGTGCCATATGAATCCAAGCCGGTAAGTGTGAAAGATCTGATTCCAACCTCACCAAGAGTTATGATAATATGATTGTACTGACAACAATTCATCTCTTCCCAACATCCACCTCCATGAGTCCTGACTAGTGCGTGATTTATTTTGCTTGTAAAGCCTTCCAACCAGACCTTGGAATTTAACTACTTCCCAATCCAGAAGATTCCTTCTAACCATTATGCCCCAAGGAACTCCCCCCTATTGTAACCTCCAAAACCATCATACTGCCATCTCTCTCTGACTCGACTCTCGAGATATTATAGATGTTCAAGAATGTCCTTCTCAACGTCTCTTCCATGAACTTGTGACTCCAAAAGCTAATTCTACTTCATCCAAAACTTGAAGGTTTTGTTACCAATGAAATCTTTCCATCCTTTCATAATATCCCTCCAAAGTCTGCATCCGAATAGAAGTGTGATATTATTAGTCCTCTACTCCGCTTCACAATTCCATACTTATCCTCTATTACTTCCCTCTTTAGCTCGTGCTCCTCAATCCAAAATCTCTAGAACCATTTCCTTAATAGGGTTTTGATACCCTGGCATCTTTCATCCCGAGACCAACCCCCCCCCCGATATGTTACATTCTATCCTCAAATCTAAAATATTAAAATCTTTCTTTTTCGGTAAGTCTAGAGCAGTGTTGTTAAAAGTGACCGTCCTCGCTTAAAGCGAGAAGCGATGCGAAGCCCTCTGGCGCTTCTCTGAGGGTATGCAGTAGTTATTTTATTCTCATTCTCCTTTTCTTCTCCATTGTCTATGCAGTATTTATTCTCATTCTCCTGTTAAAAGCGACCGTCTTAGTTGTCTATGCAGTATTTATTTTATTCTCATTCTCCTTTTCTTCTCCATTGTCTATGCAGTATTTATTTCAATATTCTTTTTTAAAATTCCGCTTCACATAAAAAAAGCGAGCGCTTCGCTTCTCGCTTTAAGCGAAAAGGGGCTTGTCGCTTTTCCTCGCTTCACGCTCTTCACAACACTGGTCTAGAGAAAATTCATTCATTACATCAAGACGGTGTTAGATAATCAAGTATCCCGATACATCAACCTAATTAGATGTATTCTCACACCTGTATCCAAAATTGTATTGACACCCCATATCATAAAAGTAAACACCTTGACAAACCCAACAAGCACCTATGTCCAAGTAATGTAAAACTGCTTAACTAATATCAGTAGCTATGAAAACCTAGCAACATATGTGCACTTCATCGTCCAAAGGGTCACAATCCAAGTTACAATAACCAAATAAT